TGTCTTGTTCCTGTTTTCAAGGGGAATGTTTTCAGCCTCTCTCCATTAAGAATGATGTTGGCCGTTGGTTTTGCATAGATGGCCTTTATTATGTTGAGGAATTTCCCTTCTATACCTATTTTATTGAGAGTTTTTATCAGGAATGGGGCAAGCACCCTCTTTTAAAGGAATACTTCTGGGACGCTTGAGCCTCGTTGCCCTCAGATATTATATGCTGACACTGTTCTGAGCACTTTACATGCATTAACTCATTTAATTCTCACAGCAACCCTATAAGATAGGTACTACTGTTATCATCTCTATTTTATAATAGGGAAACCAAGGCTGGAGGAGGATAAGAAATTTGCCTGAGGTCATAGGGCTAGTTAGTGGTAGAACCAGGATTTGAACCAGGCAGTGGGGCTCCAGGGTTGATGCTTATCTCTACTACATTATATTACCTGTTCAGAATTATTAAAAAGATCATCTTAAGAATTGCATAATACTTACTAAATAATACCTCATTATTTCTGGACATTTGGGTTATTCCTAAGTCAGTCAGTTTAATAAATTAACCCATCCCATTTCTAAGTTAGGAATTGCCTATGTTGTTGTTAGTTACCATCGAGTCTATTCTGACTCATGGCGACCCCACATGTGCAGAGTAGAACTCCATAGGGTTTTTAAGGCTGTGACCTTTCGAAAGCAGATCGCCAGGCCTGTCTTCTGAGGTACCTTTGAACTGCCAACCTTTCAGTTAGTAGTCAAGCACTTAACGTTTGCACCACCTGGGAAACTTCAGGAATTGCCTATATTACATGTAGAATGACAATAGGGAGAGAGGTTTTATTTCTGAAAGAATCATTTGGTGTTCATTTTGGACAATGAAATAAGGAATTTTTTTTGGCTATTTCAAAATTAGATACTTTAAAGAGCTATTTAATAGTCATATATGTTTACTTTGGCATCATGCTTTAAGTTAATATTTAGAGACCTCCCCCATCATAATTCCTTAACTTTAAATTTAAAAAAGTGTAAGATGACAAATAAGCCTTGATTACCTAATTGAACTTTGTACTCCCAGGAAGTCCCGAGTTTTAGTTTTTGGACTTACAAAAATATTGAGTAAAGAGGACTGGTTAGGAATGGTAAGACATGGGTTTCAGTCTTTATTGTGTCAGACTTGGACCTCGCTGGAAATCATTTTCCTCATATGTAAAATACGAGAGTAGGACTAAACTCTAAGACTCTTTCTAACTCTAAATTTCTTTGACTCTAAGGCTCTTATATCTGAGGGCAAGTTTCTAACTTGGCAAAATGCACATTATCATACTCACTAACCCCATCTACTGGTAGAAAGAGAGATGACCCTTGACCAATACTGTCTTATAAACAGCACGTGCTACTTGTTCTGCAGCTAGGGACTTACTTAAACAGGAGTGTGAATTCAGCCTTTTGAGACATTCAGTTGTTCAGAATTCTTATGTATGAACTTTTTATAACCTTCATGCTTTGGTGAAAAATGCATAGAACTTGGGAGTAGGGTAGGGTGGGAGCAGCTGGTCAGCAATGTGTGACTTGCCTAATGTGAGGTAAATAGTTACTGGTAGATCCAGGGACAAAAATTCAGGTCTCTGTACTCTCAGGTTAATGTTCTTTCCATAGGCACATGACTTATTAATGAATCCTTTTTTAAAAAAAATCTATATTTTATCTTTTGAATAGGAAATATATTCACGTGGTTCAAAAATTCAGAAGCTACAAAGGGGTTTACATTGAAAATCTTCTTCCTATTTCATTCCTCAGCCATCCAGAAGGCAAATAATACTATCAGTTTTGTATATAACCTGCCAAAAGTAATTTATGCATAAACCAGCAAATACATATGTATTCCCCTCCTCTCTTTTTATACAATTGGTAGCATACTCTTCACACTGTTCTGCACTTTGTGGTGTTTTCACTTAACATTTGAAATCATTTCATATTGTTACATAAAGAGCATCCTCTTTAATTTTTAATTTTAATTTTGTATGAGTGTCTAATATTTCATT